ATCCCAACCTGATCAAGTCATACCTAAATTTCCAGGAGATACTTATTGAATTAATTCTTATATACAAGATACTTATTGAATTAATCCTTTCATAAGTCGTTGACAACATTCGATCCTCTCAAGATCAATGTGAGTACGACTTGTTGATCGACGTTGATGTGATGAACCTTCACCAAGCCTTCGAGTGTTTAAATTCAATCTTTGATAGTGAAATGCCTCATACTCTTCTATGTCTTCTTCTTCTGTTGATTACCTATCAAAGAAAATCATGATGGATGTGTTTGTTTTATAATTGGAGAGAAGTTTTATATGAGTTTTATGTGTTGATGGCAAATGAGAATTTATTATTTATATATGCATGCATATTCTACGCAAAAGAAAAAAGACGGTCGTAAGATAAAGAAAGAAAAAGGTCACATATAATGGTCATAAAGTAACAAAAGTAAGTTAAAGGTTATTTTCACAAAAAATTGTCTCGGAAATTTAAACAATTAATCAAAAAATTTATTTTTAAAAATGGTGACAAACTATTAAAAATTAAAGTGAAAAAATAAATTAGCATTTTATGTGAAGTAGATTATAAAAATAGGAAAGCTAAATTTGAGAGGTTGTAGGGTTGGAGTACAAAACTGGATTGAGAAGCTAAAAGTGAGTATTTGAAAGTATTGGGAGATAAATTTGAGTGGGAGGCTTGAAGTTGGTCTTAGTACGAGGTTTTAGAGATGAAAATTGTCATGACCAACCCCAAAAAAGCAGGTTATATAACTTATCGGCCTCACCCTTGTTTCCTTCTTGATCCTGTTTAACCATCCAAGACGGGGTGAGGCTCAAATCAACACACTGATTTTTTGAAAATTACATTTTGATACAAAATTTTATTTTCTTACAATTTTGTACCTAAACCTTATTTTTGTTTACAAACAAGTCCATAAATTTTGGTGGTAACATTACTTTTTAGTAACTTTTATGTTCTTTATCTTGTATTATAGTATCTAAACTTTTAAAACTTTACAAACAGGTCCAATGTGTTGGTATGAGGAATTATAGTGATCCGACCCTAAAATGATCCAGCATGATTCTCAGGATCGGGACGGATCAGTGGGTCTCTAGATCAAGCATACACCCCTTTGAGATTTCAGGTGGATCAAGTTAATTGTAGTAGCAACCTAGCCTTATCATGTTGCATTATGGTTGGACAGATGGACCTACCTCTTCAAGTTAACGAAGAAGATAAGAGCTGATTAAAAAACTACGGAAAATAAAAAGTATGTAACACTCCGTTCATGAAAGAGGGGAGAAATATGGGAAGAGGAAGGAAAATTAGGAGGGAGTGAACATTTGAGGGTAGTGAAATAATGTGGGGAAAATATGTGTTCAATTTTGAAGGGAAAAGTATAAAAGACAACAATTGTTTCCACTCCAAATTGTGAGTAGGGGTCGGCAATGGGAAATGATTATTTGAATATACCCGTACAGTCTCGTTTTTTTAGGGTTACGGGTACACAAATACCCATAATTTTTTTAGGGGACGAGACTGTGACTAATAATTTTTAGATTGGGTACCCACGAGTTATCCGTTAATACTCGTTTGGGTAGTATGGGTACTCATAATATCCATTAGTCAAAAGCATAATTCTTAAAGCTGTCACACCCATATCTAAATTTACCCTGCAATTCCCAAATTGCCTCGAGCGATTACAACAATTATTCTATAATTGTTTAAATCTAAGTATAATTAAGCTAGGTATATTTTAGGTTGATAAAGTGAGCCATTCCATTATTAAAAGTAACCTAAGCTAGCACCTGCTCTCCCACGTACATAAACCTAAAGAATGATTATGGTTGGTATTGTTATATTGGTTGTCATGTTAATTTGGTCAATTTAGTATGTCTAGATTTTTGGAAACCAATTATGTTTTTGTAATTTTGGGTATTATATGGGTTATTCGGGGTACACGTTATCCGTTCTGTACGGGTAATGGATAACCATTAACCCGTACGAAATTGGGACATGAGATGAGTTTTCTCTCCAAATGAAATCGGGTACCCGTTTCAAACACAACGAGTATCCAATCCCGTCCTGTTGCCTACCCCTAATTGGGGGAGAGTCCAAATTTCCCCCAGAATAATTACTTCCTTGTACTTAGACCAGACCCAGACCCCGTGCTGGTCAGCCTCACAACACAGGGCCTCACATTCGTTTATATGGCTAGGGAAGGATGTATGGGCCAAATTAAAAGAAATGACTTATTAATTCGTTTATATGGGTCATTGAAGGATGTATGAGCCAAAGTTAAAAGAAATTGAATGGATTAGTTAGTTTTTTAATGGGTCCAAATTAAAGAAATTGAATGGAATAGTTGGTCTTTGATGGACTAAGATAAAAGAAATTGAATGAATTAGTTGATCTTTTAATGGGCTATATTTGTTCTAATTAATTGTGACAAAATTCAGGCTAGGGCAGCCAAGAGCCATGGAAAAGAGCTCCTAATCATATTCTAAACTTATGTATTTTTTTATTATTATCTAATAATTTTTATTTTTAATAAATTTGCATGAAAAAAATTTAGGACAACTTTTTAAATTTTCGAACAAGGCCTCCGAATATTATGGACCAGTCCTGCTACCTGTATTATCGCAAAACTTATGAATTGGGGAAAAGTTCTGAATCCCTTTATTTCCCCCTAATTTTCCCCACCATCTATTTTCCCTCTTTTAGGGTAACTATCAAGTATCAACCCTTAGATCCGAGATCCACTTATAATTAGGGGCCTAGATCTTATATAATAAGCTCATGCACCATAAGAATACTTATCCCATCCGTAACCAAATTTTTTAACCCAAACAACCCACAATTAAGGGCAGAAAAGTAAGCGGAGACAAAATGGGGCTTAGGTGGATTGGGTGAAGGAATTGACGTACAAGCCGTAATTCCATACGTTAGCACACAACAAATGAACCCAAATTATCCAAATTAGCTTTCCACTGGCCACTGCTGCTCTTGTGGTGGGTTCCCAGCAAACGTGCGAACCAGTAATTGTGTTGTATTTCGATCTTCTTATCCAAAAGTTGACCAATCAGCATTTGCATGCGCATCCACACACGTACTCTCCCGACACTACTGCACGTGTATTTGTATAATCACATGTACTTTTGTCATTGTTTTCTCCTTTTCCATGCCTTCAGCTTCAAGCATGCTGACTAAACCCCATGAATGGATATTTGATTCAAAACCCCGTTTGGTAGTCGTGTTCGTGTAAATTGTTTACATTAATGAATGTATGTATATTACAATCTATTAGAGGTGGCAAATGGATTGGATTGGTGGATTGGTGGATTGGATTGGTGGATCCATGGATCAAATGGATTGGATCTAATGGATTGGTGGATTCATGGATTGGATCAAGTGGATTGGTGGATTATCCATGAATCCAAATGACATCCTCAACCAAGGACCAATATGTAAAATGTAAAAAGTTTAGGTACTAAAATGTCACAATGAAAAATTTTAGGTACCAAAACGTAATTTTCCAATGATATTTTTCGTATAAAAAATAAAATTTTAGGTACCAAAATGTAAAAATTAAAAATTATAGGTACTAAACCGTAATTTGCCAATGATCCATGGATCCAATCCATGAATCCACCAATCCAATTGGATTTGGATAAAATGGATTGGATTTAAATGGATTGGATTAGGTGGATATTTTTAATGGATTGATGGATTGGATTGAAATTGCCACCTCTACAATCTATACATACGAAGGGGCAAAATCGCGTTTCAGGAAAAATAAAAAGTCTACCTCGTTGATTCACTTTTATTGGGAGTACCCAAAATTAAATGGAATAATTTTTGGCGGAGATATGCTGAAGTTTGGAGTGTTATAGCTGTCATTAATATTAAAATACAGGTAAAATAATATGTGAAATTGATAATAAATTAAAAAAACGTTAATAAGACTTTTCTCCTCTTTAAATTACAATCACGGTAAATTACATGTAATTTTAATAGAGGTAAAATTATATGTAAAATTGGTAAGAAATTTTGAAAACAGAGGAGTCGATGAGACCATAACCCCCTTTTCAAAAACCACGATTCAAATTACATGTAAACCCGACAAGAGATTTATATAATAGAGTAGTCGATAAGACCTTATCTCCCTTAATACATGCGCAAATCAGTTTTCACATTTAGTTGCACTCATTTTGTTGTGCAATTAGCGAGAAATTCAACACTAGATGAATCAACCCACAAGTCAATATGTATTGTGTGTCCATCCCTGTTTCCACAAGCTTCTCTAGTAACTTTGCTGGGAAAGAAACTTCATATTCCTGACTGCTATGAACCACATGAGCGACATATTATTGTGGCTCATTTTTCAAAGAATACATCCAATGCCCAATAGTCTTCAAAGTCTTGAGCATAAACTCTTGAGCAAGTTTGTAATTATTTTATTCATCAAAAAATCAGAAAGAACTTTTAGAATCTAGTGCATCGCACTCAACTGCCACTCAATCGCTCGAAATGAATGGTTCTAGACTTCTGGTTGTAAGTCATTATATTTCAAAGAAAATTATACATAGAATTGGAAAATGTATCATGTATATCTAAATTGGTAGCATGTTAAAATTCAAAATTCCTAAGTTTAAATCTTGAGACAAACAACCATTTGAAGAAGGGGGGAAAAATGTACCAGAAAATCATGGAATCTTTTCATCGTAGAATCTATTGTCTCCTGAAGTGAAAGTTGTTTTGCATGGGACGTTGATTATGACATGGTACTGCTCTCGAACTGTTGAGTACTAGCTAATGCATACAGTGTATAACAGAAACACACAGTAACAAAATCATAATACAATCAATGCGTTATTTACCTAGCAGTCTAACACCAATCTTGATGGCGACATGTGACACAACTTCGAATAACAATAACACAGAGCACATGTCATGTCAGTCTTCTATAAGTAGCGGTTGTCAAATTCTAATCCACACATAGGCACAATATGGAACTGCACAACATCTACGGCTATCTCTTCCTCCCTTTATTTTCCCTCTACTTAGCCCACCTAACCCTCAAATCCACCACCACCGCCCGCCGCCTCCGCCGGAAACTTCCTCCAAGCCCACCGTCGGCGCTCCCGATCCTCGGCCACGTCAGCCTCCTCAAACCCCCAATCCACCGCACCTTCCACGCACTCTCCCAAGACCTCGGCCCCATCTTCTCCCTCCGCCTCGGGAGCCGCCTCGGGAGCCGAACTCATCATGTCCAAGCACATCGGCTACAACTACACCACCGTGACCCAAGCCCCCTACGGCGACCACTGGCGCAACCTCCGCCGCATCGGCGCTGTCGAGATCTTCTCCGCCCACCGCCTCAACGCCTTGCTCCCCATCCGCCGCGAGGAGGTCCGCCGCCTCGTGTCCAAGCTCGCGGCAGCCGGCAGCCCCCACCGCCGCGTGGTGGAGCTGAAGTCGTTGTTCCGCGAGCTGACGTTCGACACCATGATGAGGATGGTCGCCGGGAAGAGGTTCTACGGCGACGGCGATGACCGGGGCAGCAGGGAGTTCAGGGAGGTGCTGAAGGAGGTGGTGTCACTCAGCGGCGCGACGAACCCGGCGGATTTCGTACCGGTGCTGAGGTGGATTGACGGCGGGAAGTTCGAAAAGACGGTGGCGGGGCTGGCTCGAAGGACGGATTCGTTCTTGCAAAAATTGATAGAGGAGCATAGGAGCAAGAAGGAAGGGTTGGATAGTGCGAATACCATGCTTGACCACTTGCTCGCGTTGCAGGTGTCTGAGTACCACACTGACCAGATTATCAAAGGGCTTGTTCTGGTAAGCTAACATGTAATGCTTTTTACATATTACGAGTTCTAATGATTTGAAAACATGTGTAATTTTGAGTGTTATCGGCAGTGGCGGACCCAGAAATTTTTCATAGGGGTGTCCACTTTTAAAAAAAAAAAATAATAATAATTAATAAAAATAAAATCATAAATATGAAAATACCTTACTCGTACATGTTAAACAAAAATATAGAATTGTAGAATACACTTGGTGTTTATAGTGTTAAAAACAAATTCTCTATATACCCTACTAGACAATCATTCAGGAACTTATCACATATTTGATTTGTAAACTTATTCTTGATGTAACCCAAAGCTGAAAGACTCTTTCAACACTTGCCATACAATCATAAAATCAATACAAATTAAGGGTAGATTGAAATTAGTTTAATTGTTAGGTTTTTAACATAATTAGAGATAGGGAATGACTTTTTACTATTACACATTGTTCAAAATCGAACAACAAATGAGTTGAATTACCCAACCTACCATTTATAGTTTTATACACAAATGACAGTAGGATAATCATTTTTTCAAATTTCAGGGGTGTCCCTCACTATCAATTATATTTTTTTGTCTATACGTAAATTACCACCGGGGATTGGATAATCATTTTCCCGAAATTTAGGGGTGTCCGGGGACACCCCTAAAACTCCCTGGGTCCGCCCCTGGTTATCGGGTCATGTTGTGGCATGGACGGATACTTCTGCAGTGACATTAGAGTGGGCGATGTCAAATCTTCTGAATCACCCAGACATATTAGTCAAAGCAAGAGAAGAGCTCGACAAGCAAATTGGCCAAGAACGAATGGTAGATGAGCTTGATATTTCTAGCCTACCTTATCTTCAGAACATAATTTCGGAGACCCTTCGACTGTACCCGGCTGCTCCGCTCCTGGTTCCCCATGCCTCATCCGAGGATTGTGTGGTTGGAGGGTACCATTTGCCGCGTGACACGTTGTTATTGGTCAATGCATGGGTTATCCATAGGGATCCTAATCTTTGGGAGGATCCCACGAGTTTTAGACCCGAAAGGTACGGAAAAGGAGGGAACGAAAGTTGTAAGCTGATAGCTTTTGGATTGGGTAGAAGGTCTTGTCCTGGTGCAGGCCTTGCCCAACGAGTTGTGGGATTCACTCTTGGGTAGGGCTGGCTATTTGGACCGGGACCGGATAAAAAATCGAAAACCGGACCGTATAACCCGGACCGAGACCGGACCGGGACCGGATAGTAAACAATCCAATCCAATCTTTGGGCTTAGATTTGAGGTAAAAAACCGGATAAGAGAGCTCAACACCCAAAACTTAAGGGTAATTTGCATAAACGGTCACAAACATTTACACTTAGTACAAAACTTAACCAACTCCTCACCCTTTTAGGCCTTAGGCCACTCAAATTCCCACAATCTCAATATAAAATCAAGACCGAATTGGGACCGGACCGGGTCAAGACCGGACCGGATCAAGACCGGACTGTATCCAATCCAATCTTCGGTCCTTATATTCTCAAAAAACCCGGATTGGACCGGATCAATTTGGGCCAATTTAACCGGACCGGACCGTATAGCCACCCCTACTCTTGGGACATTGATCCAATGCTTTGAATGGGAAAGGGTCAGCGAGGAAGCGGTTGACATGAATGAAGGGAAAGGGATGACAATGCCTAAAGAGAAACCACTGGAGGCCATCTGCATAAGTCGTCCAATTGTGAAGAAATTTGTTTCTTGAAGATAAATAAAGACATCCGAGATCAAGACTTAAACTAGGTTCTAACCTGTTTAATTTTAGTGAATACAAGGATGAGCAAATGAAGCGAGGGGTATGTTGGGAGGTTAATATTGTTCTAAATAAGTAGTATATAATTGTACTCATAAAATCATACGAGTTCAAGGAGTATATTATGGATCATTTTTTTACATTACTTCATAGATGGTGGTTCCTATGAAAATTATTGAAATCAAGAAAACTAAATCATAGATGGTGGTTCATATGAGTGACATTGGAGAAGTTTATTTTATTGTGTTTACACCTAAAATATAACTCATATAATACTCCTAGGTTATTCACAAGTCGTTGAAATCCTTTATAAAGGCATATGTATCTAGGAGGATGAATTTTTCGGAGAGTAATCTAAGAGATTGAGTATATCTCATAGATCTAGCATCTGTCTGAAGTCTGTCTAAGCTTCATTTTCAATAGGGGCATGACCAGGGGCGGATCCAGAACTAGTTAAAGGGTGTTTCGGCAGGACACTTCTTTTCTTAGAGTAAAAAACTTTTCGATTCCAATAGTAATTCAAGTCTGGAAAAAAAAAGAGAAAAAAGTAGCAATCTCTTTGATCCGAACCGCTCTCTAATATTCTTTCCACTTTGACTAAGAAAAAATAAAAACCACATTCTAATGAAGGCTTTTCATGAAAGCATGGTTTTGCCATAGAGCATTGATAATTTACAATTTGTCTCCTTATTTGTTTACGGTTGCAATGGAAGTTCTTAATGCTATGCTTAAACTGGCAGTGAAACAGAACCAAATTCCCTTTCATCCTCGATGTAAACCGTTAGCAATAACACATTTGTGTTTTGCTGACGATTTGCTGGTCTTTACAAATGGTTATGTGCGAGGTGTGACTGGTGTTTGACGGGTCCTTGATGCTTTTTATGTTGTTTCTGGATTGAAGTGCAACCCAGATAAATGCCAAATGTTCCGTGTGGGGGGGGGGGGGGGTATCTGAGCAGGAGCATCATTTTTTATCCTCTGTTTCAAGGTTTCCCTCGGGGCATCTGCCTGTACGTTACCTTGGCGTTCCTCTAATTACAGGGAAGCTTACTCGTGCTGTGTGTCGGGTACTTGTGGAGAAAATTACTGCCAAGATACGTAGTTGGAGGGCCAAGTCTCTAAGTTTCTCTGGTCGCTTTCAGCTGATTTCTTCAGTTCTAACTAGTACTTTGCAATTATGGATGAGTATTTTTCTTCTGCCTCAGTTTGCCATCAAGGAGGTTGAGCCAATTTGTAATAAGTTCTTGTGGGACATCGATGATTCATCAGTAAGGAAGAGGGCTGTTACATCTTGGCAGTTTCTTGCTCGTCCAAAAATAGAGAGTGGACTTGGGATTCGTAATTTTGCTCTTTGGAACAAAGCATGTGCTCTTCGACATCCCTAGGCCATTCTTGCTGAGGAGGGTTCTATATGGGTTGTGTGGATCCGTCGTTATCGGGTTAAGCAGTCTTCCATTTGGGACATTAAAGTCTCTGCTGCTCGTTCATGTATTTGGAAACGAATTCTCAAATGTTGTGAGGTAGCACGTCCTTTCATATCACATATGGGGGTTGTTTTGACATGGGATGGCGATGTGATGAAGTCTTACTCTTTTAAGAATATTTGGAACTAGCTGAGACAGCATGGCAGCTCTGTGCCGTGGTTCAAACTTGTATGGATCAACATATTATCCCTCGTCATGGTCTTATTCTATGGCTTGTTATCCATAACAGGTTAAAACTGCATGACAAGTTGATTGCGTGGGGGAAGCCGGTCTTGGTACTCTGTGTGCTCTGTCCTGGAGGTTATGAGATGCGCTATCATCTATTTGTTAATTGTTCATATATCAGAAGTATTCTTTCTTTGATTTTGTAGTCTGCAGCTCCCCCAGAGCTGGGTGACTGGCAGTCTGTTTTATAGTGGTGTGTGACTCGATGGAGTGGTGCAGCGGCTGATGATGTTTTACATCATATGGCTTGGTGTGTGGTGATAAGCCTAGTTTGGCGCGAACGCTACTCTAGGATGTATGGCTCGAAGAGTGCGAGAAGTCCCTCTCAGCTTGGCCTTAGAGGCAAAGTGGATCCTTTATTTCCGGTGCCAACTAGATCAGACTCTGTTAGGTTGTTTGGAATCTAGGGGATTGGGGTAGTGTTCTTTCTTTATGTTTCTTCCTTGTACAGGAAGATTTTCATTGTACAGACTTTGTTTGTGCTGAGGGGCGCCTGAGTGTTTTGCTAATGGTTGCCGGTTCTTAATGCATTTTTAATTTAACCATAAAAGAAATTGGAGAGCTGTCGAGAAGATATATTGGCAGTTGCCAGTAGTGGACCATGAATTTCATAAGGATGATATATGTTTATTTTTTATTTTTATGTACTACTTAAGGGATTCGAACATGAGACCTTAAGGTTAAAGACTAGTGGTATATAATTTAAAATAATTATAAAAATGTTAAATAAAAATATATTATACTAGTACAGTTATAATGGAACACGAAGACGTGATTTCTTATTCTGAAAAAAGTTCTAGATTTAATATTCACAGTAGAAAAGTATCGTTCAATATATATCCTAATAGACATTCATATATGAACTGATCACATATTCGATTCTGAAGTTTGTTCTTGATATAAACCAAAGTGAAATCTCTTTCAATATGAATGATAGAAGAAGAGGAGAGAAGATGAGTCGATTCTCCTTTCTGCTTTCATTCGTCAAATATCATAAGGGTGCTAATTGCGGATTGAAATTTAGTTTTTAGATTTTGGAAGAAAAAATTGAAAATAATATGGTGTAATTTGAGTTTGTTTAGATTATAATTTATATTTATGTTTAAAAGATAATAATAAATGAATTATATAGTCTAATAGAAAACATGTTTGCTAATAACCACAATGTCCTGGAACAATATGGTCAACCGAAGGTTTACCCCTATCCTCGTTCTAGAGCTAAAATAAAGAAAGACTCAAAGGTTGTAGCAAGATATGGTCTTTGCTCTATCCTTGAGTCATGTCTTAATAGCTTGTTTGGATATAATTCTGTTGGAAAATGAATTCCATTTTTTATGAGAATCTGAATTCAAGTGGGAATTCATTTTAAAATTTTATGTTTGGAACAAATCCAAAAGTTTGGGAAATGATTTCATCTTTTTATGTTTGGAAAAAATGGAAATGATTTCTTACAAGTGCTTTTACAATAATATCCTTAGTATTAATGATTTCAAATCCAAAAGTAGTAAGGGCTTTCTTGTAAAGGTGAGTCAAAATTAATGTGGGGTCCACTAATTCCATCACTCCCTCCACCAATTCCGACCACTTTTGGTAGGATTTAGAATTTCCAACTTTTTACCTTTTGGAATTCCATTTCCTTTTTACTTTTTACTTCCAAACATGAGAATCATGGAAAGTTTGGGAATTGGAATTCCATTTCCTCAAAATTTAGCCTTTCCAAACAGGCTGTACAGCCTGTTTGGATGGACAAAAAACTCAGGAATTGGAATTCCATTTCCAATTCTATTTCATTATCTCATGTTTGGAATGGTAAGAAGGTTGGGAAATGAATTCCATTTGACTAAAATATTGGAAATTAGAATTCCTATCAAAAGTGATAGGAATTGGGTTTATGGGGATGGAATTAGTGGGACCCATTCATATTTATTATTATTTTATAATTCCACTATCTTATTTCTCTCTTTCTCTCTCATCCATATTTCATTTCCCAAGATAAAAAAATCTACTAAATCATTAATGATTGTTAAAGAATACAATTCATTTCCATAGTTGTTGGAATTATGCCAAACACAAATATTGGAAATGGAATTCCATAAAAGTTAGAATTGGGAATGGAAATCCATTTCCATTTCTTATGGAATTGTATCCAAACAGGCTGTAAGGGAAAGAGACTGGATTCACGCATCAAGCGGGATCCTCAAGCTCATGGGGATATGGAGTGCGTGTCTAGTTTTCATTGGAAATGAATCAACTGAATATATTTTTTGTCTCTCGCATGACACAGTATGATAAGCGGTAATAAGCTTAATTGAAAAAGCTCAACCTCTAAAAATAAACTGCTTCTATCGAAGAGGCCCATGATTTTTGTGTTGAAGTAAGTACTTTGGTGACACATATAAGATCAATGGTCTCCTCTCTCATTTCCCAATGAGAAAGTACGTTAAAGTGCGTGAGCTCTTAAGTACAAGCTGAAGAGGAAGAGGGAAGCATCAAGTTCCAAGCAACCAAAGAGGTATGCTAGTAACCTACGAGAGTACTCACAAGCGCTTTCGAAAATATAAATATGCAAAGACTAAAGATATTTTTTTGAATAACCAACCTGACATATGGATTTTAGCTCGCCCACTTTGAGCAGATAGAGATTCTCGAACGGGAAAATGTGGCACTCGGGGTAAAGGTTTGCCTAACCCATTTCAGTTCATGTCGAGGAACCCACCACCTTTTTTATTAGATGGAAGCCCGAGAGTAGAAAGAAGCCTAGAAGAGAAGATGGATTACGAACTTCACTGAAGAACTTAAATCATATGATATTCTTTAACATGCACATTTTCATTAGTATTAGTATGCTCTTGTTTTGGAGTCACTTAATGCAAGGTCAAAGCATGATAAGCAGTGGGGGACTCAGAATTATTGAAGAGGGGTGTCTCTTAATGAAGGAGTATTGGCTATAATTATTAAAGCGGTGTCGGAAATCTCGTATTAATTTTTTTTTTGTACCGAAAAATATAGATTCTTCACAAAATTTTCGAGTGAATGGGTGTCGGACGACACCCCTTGCCAACAAATAGGTCCGCCACTGATGATAAGCACCCACATAAATGAGATCCTGGCCCGTTGTTAGTGAGCTTTGTGACTATTAAAAAAATAATTGTAGCACATGTGTCGCCCAAAGCGTAAGGGGCATGATGCTATAAACATCACCTTCCTCCAGCTTATCACCAACACTTGCTCAGTGGAACAAGGTTGGTTACTTCTATTCGATTTCGTATATGCTTTTACAGTCTATGCCCTAACTAGTCCTGGGTCCGCCCTTGGTACTGCCCTATTGATAATGAAGTCCAGAGAGAGACTTTAAAGAGAGGCAGATATGGGATTACTCACCAAAACTTGAATTAGTCTCCAAAAATTTATCCCCTAGATACCAGTGCCTTTATAAAGATTATGAGTTTTTTTCAAGTGTAACCACAATAAAATAAACTTCTCCAATGTCACTCATAAAATTGTATGATCTATCTAATTTTGTTCATTTCCCTAATTTTTGTATGATCCACAATTATGAAATAAAGTAAAAAAAAAGATCCATAATATCCTCGTTGAACTCTTTATGATTTGACGAATGCAATACAATACTATTTATTTAGAACACTATGAACCTCCCTACAGCCCTTCGCTTCATTTGCTCATCCATGTATTCATAAAATTTGAAACTGGTCACGATCTAGTTTAAGTCTTGATCGTGGATGTCTTAGTTTATCTTAAAGAAAAAAACTTGTTCACGATTGGACGACTTATGCAGATGGCTTCCAGTGGCTTCTCTTTAGGCATTGTGATTCCTTTCCCTTCATTCATGTCAACCTCTTCCTCACTGGATCTTTCCCATTCAAAGCATTGAATCAATGTTCCAAGAGTGAAGCCCACAACTCGTTGGGCAAGGCCTGCACCAGGACAAGACCTTCTTCCCAACCCAAAAGGTATAAGCTTATAGCTTTCCTTCCCTCCATTTTCGTACCTTTCTGGTCTAAAACTCAAGGGATCGTCCCAAAGATTAGGATCTCTGTGGATAGCCCATGCATTGACCAACAACATTGTGCCACGTGGCAAATGGTACTCTCCAACCACACAATCCTCGGAGGAGGCATGAGGGACCAGGAGCGGAGCAGCCGGATACAACCGAAGGGTCTCGGAAATTATGTTCTGAAGATAAGCGAGGTTGGAAATATCAGGCTCATCTACCAAGCGTTCTTCACCAATTTGCCTGTCGAGTTCTTCTCTTGCCTTGACTAACAAGCTGGGGTGATTCAGAAGGTTTGACATCGCCCATTCTAAAGTCACTGCAGAAGTATCAGTTCCTGCCAACAACATGACCTGATAACACCCAAAACGACACATATTTTCAAGTCATTAGACCTCGAGATATGGAGAAATCATCACATCACTGCCTATAATCACGGTCGGTATATTAAAATGTTAAACTATGCACGTTAAATATTGATGAATGTACAATATGTTGGACCCAACCAAGGTACACCAAAATTAAAGTAAAGATCCGACCTAACATTTTATATTGTTACAAACCAATCTTTTCCACCTAATCCGGCACCTAAAGATTGGGGCGGCTAATAATTCAGATCTATCCGCATTTATTTATAGATTAATAAAATGATGATTAGTGAGTTTACCAGAACAAGTCCTTTGATAATCTGGTCACTGTAATACTCAGGCTCAGACTCCTGCAACTTGAGCAAGTGGTCAAGCATGGTATTCGCACTATCCAACTTTTCCGTCTTGCTCCTATGCTCCTCAATCAACTTTTGCAAGAACGAGTCCATCCGTCCAGCCAGCTCCGCCACCGTCTTCTCGAACTTCCCGCCGTCAATCCACCTCATCACCGGCACGAAATCACCCGGGTTCGTCGCACCGCCACGTGCCGCCACCTCCTTGATCACCTCCCTGAACTCCCTGCTGCCCCGGTCATCGCCGTCGCCGTAGAACCTTTCCCCGGCCACCATCCTCATCATCGTGTCGAACGTCAGCTCGTGAAACGCCGACTTCAGCTCCACCACGCGGCGGTGGCTGCCGTGCGCGAGCTTGGACGCGAGGCGGCGGACCTCCTCGCGGCGGATGGGGAGCAAGGCGTTGAGGCGGTGGGCGGAGAAGATCTCGACGGCGCCGATGCGGCGGAGGTTGCGCCAGTGGTCGCCGTAGGGGGCTTGGGTCATGGTGGTGTAGTTGTAGCCGATGTGCTTTCCCATGATGAGTTCGGGGCGGTTGGCGAAGACGACGTCGTTTTCGGTGAAGCATTCCTCCGCCAAGGTGGCGGAGGAGACTACGACGGCGAGGCGGTTTCCAAGGCGGAGGGAGAAGATGGGGCCGTGGTCTTGGGCGAGGGCATGGAAGGTGCGGTGAATTGGGTGTTTCAAGAGGCTGATGTGGCCGAGGATTGGGAGCGCCGACGGTGGGCTTGGAGGAAGTTGCCGGCGGCGGAGGCGGCGGGAGGAGGTTGTGGATTTGAGTGCTAGATGGGCTAAGTAGAGGAAGAAGAGAGGAAAGAGGAGATAGCAGCAGCAGATGTTGTCTATCATGGCTATTGTTCGTTTGCCTATGTGTGGGTTGCAACTAATAGGGATGAGTTGCTTTCACAACC